TATTACAATTTGTGTGTCCTAAAGTTACTTCAAATGGAGTTAAACCTGTTGTAGAATGAATTGTTTGATTATATGCCATAATGGCGTAAGTCATTACTGATGCTACATCTGTTATTTTTCTTTCGTATTTAGCTATTCTATAAATCTCTAGTATAGTTGAATGGAAACGTTCCACAATTCCCATTGAGTTAGGGTTGTGTGGGGTTCCTATGTGTAAGTTAATTTTATGAAATCCTAACATTTCTTTTAAGAGGGCATTATTAAATTCTGATCCCGGGTCTGAACTTATTTTGTCCGAGGTTCCGTAAAATGAAAAATACTTTATCAATGCTCTTACCACTTCTGGAGTAGAGCGGTTTGGGATTTCCATTGCTTGTCCTAATTTACTGAATGCATCTACTATCGTTAGAAAATAGGTGTTTTCTATTGTGAATAAATCTATAAATAATTCTTCAAAAGGTTTTGACTGCGTTTGGGTTAACTGAAGTTCTAGTTTAAATGGTTGCCTATCGTATTTCATTCTTTTACATGTTTTGCATGAATTTATAATACTAGATATCATTTCTTCCATGTTATTCCAAAAATATGTTCTTTTTATATGAATTAAAGTTTCCCTAATTCCTCGATGACACGTTTTTCCTTGGTGATATTTCGTTACTTTTGTTTCTGCTAGTCCATTATTACATTTTACTACCGCACTTGGCATTCTAACACCGCTACCGAAATCTTTATAGTCTAATATAGCTTCACCGTTTTTTATTTCTACAGGTATTTTTACGCGTGTTTCCGTTCTCGGTCCTACGTGAATTTTGTATGGGGGATTATATACTATTGGTATTTCCGTATTGTTAGTTTTTAATTTTAGAGAGTTCATGTCTACAGTAGCTCCTAATTGTTGTAATAGATCGCTACCTATCAATCCATCAAATCTGTCATCTACGCTATATATATAGAATTTATGCATTCCCGTTGTTTTAAATGATTTTAACATTGGTATATAAACAACCTCATTACGTTGGCTACGCGCGTGAGTGCTTATAACCTCAAATGGTTCTTCATAGACTTTATTTTGAAAATATTGTTTTACTTTTTCAGGTCTAATAAAAGATCTACTACTTCCTGTGTCTATCATAAATTAATAGTAGTAGTAGTAGTTTAAATATTCCGTCAAAGTTTAAATTTATTATTTCACTTTCGTTTCTGTAGAGGCCTTTATTTGAAAATTTTCGTCACTTATTTCTTCGTTATCTAATTCCTCTACTATGGGTTCGTAATAAGTACTCTTGGGGTCGTATGGCTGTTCGCTATACTCCTCCTCATCATAATATTCCTGCTGTTCATACATCTGATTGAAATATATATCTTGTTCCGTTTCAGGATTTATCATATTCTGCCTTATGGGCGCTGCTGATCGCATTTTTTTGCACGACGTTACCCATGTAAATAGTCTGCTAAGAAAAAGAAAAATGCGTTTATTGCCATTCTGATGGTATGGTAAATGCCCGCGTGAATACTGCTTTAGGACTTGTAATAATATTATTATAAAAAAATAATAAAACATGTAGCTCTTGTAATAATATTAAAGGAAAATAATTGTTATTTGACATATCAACTCTAAAGTAAATTATAAGCTAAAAAGTTTTTATACCCTATACATAAATTGCGCTCGCGCATGATATTAACATATAAGTATATGTGTTTTACCATTCAAAATTAATAACCATTAATAAGCTAAAAGAAATTAAATAAAAATACAACTAGACATCAATAGGTAATAACACTATTTTGGCAATAGCTTTTAAATGTTTCTTTTTATCAGCGGTGACTACGTTCACTACGCTAATCTTAGAATCCTTCCCTGAAAATATATTGACTATTCGACCTAAAGGCTAAAATTGTGGTTGTACTATGTCATCTTTCAATAATACCAACAATTGTATATTCCCAAATTGATATTTTTGCCATGTTGATCTCTAATTTAAGGAGAGGAGCTAATCTCTTGACCACTCCTTCAAAAAATGATGTCAAATTTGTTCAATCGATCTCCAAATGCGTAAACAATTATTTGGTAGATTTGTTGTAATTTCTTGTGGAAGAGATATTGAATGATCACCAATTATACATAAAATGGCCTGGTGTTAAAAAATTAAAATCTGCTGCGTCATTTGATATAGGATGTGAATTAAGAATTGCTTTTATTTCAGTTGTCAACGTGAGTAATTGCTTAAAGGTAAGTAACTTTTGACCCACGACTCTCTTAAAATGAAATTTGAATGCTTTTACACATGCCTCCCATAGGTCGCATTGATAGGGGCTATAAGCCGGAATATAATGAAATTGCAAGCCTTTAGTACAAGCATAGTCAATAACTGTGTTATAAAAAGTATCTATATTATGCAAACGTTAATATTAAAGCACCTATAAGGCACTGGCCATTAACATGAAATAAATCCGTTCCTATCTTCTGCCAGAGCCTTTGAAGATTTTTTCTATTATGTCTTTCTTCTGTGTATTGAGGACAGTTTCAATCATTTTTTTTCTATTGGTACCTAACCACCAGACAGTTTGTTTAGCATGACTTCACACTTGTTGATTCCTAAGTGTCGCTGATAAATTTTATATAACATCTGCATTGTTTTTGGAATGATCAAGCGTCAGACAACAAGCAAGCGACAGAAAATCTTCAGCAATTGAAAAATCAAACGTGTACTGATGAAATTCTTTTAAATTATCTGCAAGTTTAGATATCGTAGGCTAACTTTCCTTAGTATATTGTTTTCATAAATTGCATATGACAGACATTACCTGTATTTTTTTTTTAGTTTTTAAAATTGTATTAAACAAAGGAATATTTTTAGAATAGCATTAAAAAACGTACATCAAAATTGACCTTAATATCCTAATTGTATTCTAATGATACAAAAGGAAGATTAGTCTCATTATGAATGACATCTATATTTTTTTTAAATTTTGTATTAAAGGTTTATGATCTTTCTGTTTCTAAATATACTTTAACACCATAAACATAATCTTTATTTCGTCCATCAGAGTAAGTCTAAGCATTCTTTCTTAATTTGTGAATATCTTTTTTCTGTTGATGAAAGGGTTCTACTTCCAGAAGCAATTATTTGTCTATTATTCTTATCCAATTTCTGTATTAAAGTAGCACCCAACCCATAAGAACTGCTATCTGCTGCTAACAAAATTTTCTTTCCCGGATCATAATGTGCCAGTACAGGACATGATAGCGACATTTTTTTGTTTTTTTTTTTCAAAAATTGCTCGTTGTTCTGTGTTCAAAATAAATTCTGTATTATATTTTAAAAATCAGTTAAGAGGCTGTAAAACTTCAGTTTCGTCTTTAATGATTGTACTTTCAAAATTTACCATTCCTAAGAACTGCATCACTTGTTTTTGATTTTTTGGAATTTCAAAATTAGCTATTGCTTGAATTCTTTCATGATCTGGACGGATTCTATATTCATTAATAATATGACGTAAATATTTTATAGATTTGACACTAAATGCATTTTTTCTGATTTATTGTAATACCTTCTTCATACTGCTTGTCCCATACTTGCTTTAATATTATTTGGTCATGGTTTCTTTCTGCATGAACCAAAATATCATCAAACATGTAGAATCATACCATCCAGGTCATGATAGAGTTCTGAGAACTTCATTGAAAAATATTCTGGCGCGCAATTCAGACCGAAGGTTACCATTAATTGATTGAATTGGTTGATAATAGCCGTTTATACATAAAGCGTCTAAATTGTTGTAGTTGAAAGTCGAATGGGCCTGAAGACTTTGCCCGGAATGGCGAACAAATATTAAATACTTGTTGCCCCATTGTCTAATCCAACAAAAAAAATTAAAATCAAACACACAAATGTTAAATCCGATTCTTCTTCTGTGCCCATGCTGCCACCATGTGGTAATAAAAAAAAGAGTTACTTTCTAGTTTCAATTAGTTTAATTTCCAGTAATCACATTATTTGCTATGTATAAAGAGCGCACCACTAAACCTCACTCTCGCTTTTCTCTCTCGCGACAGTCAAACCGTTCCTTTTATTTCAAAATTTAATTTTTAATCTATCACAACAAGTAATCCATGTATAAACATTCGTGTGTGTAAAAACCGAGATTTTATCTAAACTGCAATCACTACTTAACCTGCTTATCACAGGACACATGTGACATTTAGGTTACTAAATCAAATAAAAAATTAAATAAAATAGTATGTATGTTATCTGCCAAACCCGAAGGCAAATGAAATTGTCTAATGACCTCAATTTCGGTGCCACCATCGAATCCAAGGCGCAAACTGCAGCTGGAAAGCTGGACGTCCTAAATAGGGTGAAGCAATACTTCACGTCTGGACAGCGTTTAACCATATACAAAGCTCAGGTCCGGTTATGCATGGAGTATTGCAGAATGTAGAGCCATGAGAATTATAGGCGACAATATATTGGTGGATGCTAAGTTTCACACCGCCGTAACGTCGCCAGGAGTTACAAGAACTTATTCCGCCTTTCGCTTTCGACCATCGGACATCCAGACGTACTTTGTCCTTGTCCTTTCTTTGTTGTTCTTTCTCCTCTTCACAAGAAACGCTTCTCAAAGACTTTTTTAATGCGTATAGCAAAGGAGTGGACTTACCTGCCTGCGTCTGTATTTCCGAGTACATATGTGCCGACTCTCCGAATCCAGAGGGAATAGGCTACTTCTGTGTAAGCTCGCTATACCGTAGATCCCATCTCCGCTTTCGGGCCCGATAGAAGATCAAGAGCTTACCCTTCAATAAATAATAATAAAAAAAACATTACTCTTGGTTCAAACGCTACATATCTTAACAATGTCAGACTTAAATTGTACTGTTGTGACCTTTCCGGTCAGATTACACCAGTTAAGCCTAAATGCTGTTTGTGCATGTAACACAGAATAAAATTCAACGTAGGTATTAATGATAACTTTGCATTAACGATCACAATTGGTCAGTGACATAAGTGAATCGGTAGCTGCCGTTTCGAAATGGCATCTAATAGTTTCAGCGGCAGCTTGTTTTACAAGTCAATTATTTTTTGTATTTTAATTATTTTGGTTTGTGTAAAAAGTAATGATAATAAGGTCAGTTTCACACTGGTGATCGACAACACGAAATCAATGACTGATGATATAGTGGGTGTGCAGGCAGCGTCGAAACGCATTGTTGAAGCCGTGGTGGAAACAGGCTCCGCTCTAATAGAGAACTTTATTTTGATATATATTAATGATCCCTGTAAGTATTAATCACAGTTTATTTACTTTATTTCATAGACTTACCCATTCTTACCTAAAATGCAAATAGTGCTCATGATATTATGTTACTATAATAAACGAGTTTAACTTAATTTTCACAAAAAAGAAGTACTCTAAAAGGCCGAAATTGTTTTTAGTGACTGGGCTAATACAGGTATTAGAAGAAGTAGGGATACACTTTATGATAGAAAGTCTCTTTAATAACGATAAAAAAAAACAATGAACTTGTAAGACGTTACTGCAAAACATTATAAAAAGTTTGTTACAAAATCAATGCAAAAGATAAAATTAAAACTGCTTGGAGGTTAATCAATTCTAATAGAAAGATTCTCAGTGATTGATCTTGTCTTGAGCATAGTTAGAAATGGATGTCGCTATTTAACGCACATAGCGACATCCCTTCCATCCATCCATCCATCTGTAATACGAACCAAGACTGGGAAAGAAAGCCAAGAGGAATCAAAATATGGCACTGAAAAGAAATGACGTTATTACTAAATTATAATAAAAGGGCGGCTAAGTGCGTGTCGTGCCACGCAAAGTGTATGGTTCCGTAGTTGCCTGTCGTTACCACATTTTTTTTAGTAATGCGGCTACCCCCTGTTTACTTATATCCTATGACTTTTACATTTTTGCTTCTTTATATATTTCTTATTTTTATTATACTTATTTTATACTACATTTAACATTAATAGATTTACCCTATTTCAATTCCACTTTTTATTTACAATTGAGAAGCTTCCTTAACTAATCCTTATTTCTTTTTATTACTTTCTGTACTATTTCACGGCTAAAATCTAGGAATAGTTTCCTTTTTTTTCTCGTTCTTGATAATTTCTCTTAATTTGTCCCTACTGATTTGTGTATCTATGCGTATCTAAAGTGTGTGTCTGTGTGTTCCGTACAGAGGGCACTTTATGAGGACATGGAAGATGTCCTCTGCACCTGGGTCGCAAACGCATCTAGGGTTGTCCTTCTTCTTAAATCTATGGAGGTAGGCGGAAAAACCTCCATGCCCCGTGAATATCTGAGCAGCAATCCTGTCAATTTCAATCTTTCTTACCATTCCAAAGGCCTTTGTTGTAGCCGCCGTGTTTTCGCCCCTATAACGTCTGCCCTATTCTACCTTTGTCTCAGCGCGTAAATGTCGCTTGACAAAAGAGATGGGGCAGCTGTTATAGTGCGACTTACACTTCAACCCGAGAGCCGCTCCCTTCGCTAGCTCATCCGCTCTCTGGTTCCCGACCACACCGACGTGGGCCCTGATCCAATACAGGGATACGGTATTTCCGTTTTCCTTAAGTTGGACCAGCTTCCTCTGTATTTACTACATATATTTCAGGAGTTAATTTACTTTATTCAGAATATTATTTATTAATATCAGAATCATCATCATCAGCCTATTAATGTCGCCACTGCTGGGGCACAGGCCTTCCCTATGGATGGATTAGGGAGATTGGGCCATGACCCCACCACGCGGGCCCTGTGTGGGTTGGTGGGTTCTAACGACTAATATCAGAATATTTATCTATATTTTATAATTTATTAAATTATTTTCCTTTACAACAGCCTTCTTAACAAAATGATCGATTGGAGTCTCCGTTTAAGCAAACATTGCCGGTGTTTGGAGGCTCCGCTGTTTTTTAACTAATAATATAATTTACAAAATGCAGTATGGTTACAGTCATGCCAAATGAACATGCAAAAAACAAATACAAATAAAACAAAACAATAAACTTAGGATCATTAGGTCCTCTTAGTAGGACTTAAAGCTAAGCATAAGTATTTGTAATCAAGAAAGGTTATGCAGATGTTGTGTGCCATGTGTGCGTGTGTGATTGTCTTTGTGTGGGAATGTGTGTCTGTGTGTGTGTAATTTTATGCATTGTTTTATGTCATGTATGAAAAACGATACAATAAAGATTCAGTTTCTTCATAAGTTTTAGGCTGAATCCATTTAATTAAAAGGCTCTTACAATCGTGGTATTTTTTTTTTATTTATTTATTTTAGGTCGCTTTTTAACATCTAGGTCATTAGCGACCACATTTTAATATGTGAATTAATCTTAAACTAAGTTATACATGTTTATCATTTTTAGGAATTTCAGCGTTCGGGTGTATCCATCTTGGTTTAAACAATTTTCCAAAGTATTAGGTACTTACATTACATAATAGTTTTTCATTGTCATATGCAGAGCATTCTATCAAAAGATGGTTAACTGTTAAATCCAACCCGCACTTGCATTTGTTTCTGGGAGCTTTAGTTATCAAATGGATGTGAGTTATGTTTGTGTGCCCAATACGTAATCTGGTAACTACTACTTCATCTTTTCTACAATTAAACATTTTAGGTGATTTCTCAAAAATAGAATGTCTGACATTGAATAATTTTGTTGTATTTTCAGTACTCCACAAATGATCCCAAAATTTTTTTATTTTGTATTTTATATGTTTTTGTAATTCGGCAGGTGTAACTTTTACTGTATTACAAATATTATTCTCATTGGTTGCACTTTTAGCTTCTGCGTCTGCTTTGTCATTACCAGCAATACTTTGATGACTGGGAATCCATATGATTTTAATTTTATACTTATTATTCAGAAGGTTAGCCATGTTTTGTCTAATTTTCATAATAAGAGGGTTTGTGTTATTAGAATTTTGTAAAGCTGTTAAACATGATTTTGAGTCTGTGTAAATGACGTATTCCTTAGAGTTTGTTAAATTTTGAATAATTTCTAGTGACTTTAGTATTGCTGTCGCTTCACAACTAAAGATAGAGAGAAAATTCCATAATCTATACCGATAGGTCCTATCATCAGATACTATTGAAATCCCAGATTTTCCATTCATAACTGATCCATCTGTGTAAAAAATCTTGCAATTCTTATACCTACTGTCTATCTCGTTGAATAATGTTTTATATATATATTCAGGCGTATCATACTTGAGATTTTTTGATAGTTCTAAGTTAATAGGTAATTCCTGTTTTTCCCACGGACCCCAGGGTGATATTCCCTTTGTGAAAATTGGTGGGAAATTGAACCGTATTTCTTTTAAATATTTATTAGCTCTGATACGTAAGGGTTGCGATAGTTTTGGTTGAAGTTCATATTCTGTATCTACCGCTGTAGTTTTTTTGTAATAATTATATGTTGGTTTCTCGGGGTAAGATAATGTATTTAAGGCGTATACAATTGAAAGTTGTTTTCTACGTATATCTAATGGCATCTCTCCAGCTTCAGCTAAAATACTTTTTATAGGACTAGTTTTGAAGGCTCCAATGCAAAGTCTGAGAGCGGTGTTTTGAATACTTTCCAAGGCATTTAATGTGCGCTTTTTTGCTGAATCGTAGATAACTGAACCATAATCAAGTTTTTGTCTTATTAGTGCCCGATAGGTGTTTATCAAACATTTTCTGTCAGATCCCCATGTTGTTGATGATAAAACTTTAATTATATTTAATCTTTTGTAACATTCTGATTTGAGTTGATTTATGTGTGCATTCCAAGTCAATTTACTGTCAAATATGACTCCTAAGATTTTGAATTTATTAACCTCTTTTATTCTATGGTCATTTAAAGTTAATGTGATGTTATTTATTTTCTTTTTCTTTTTTGTTAATATCATGAATTCACTTTTAGTTTTAGAAAATTTGAAGCCAGATACATTTGTTTAGATCGTTAAGTGTATTTTGTATTAGTTTTAATGTAGGCTTAATTGTTCTACCGCTACATATAATTGTAAGGTCATCAGCGAAAAGAATTCCCTTTACAGGTTTTGGGATATATGATAAATCATCGTTTATAGCTAGTAAAAACAGGATTACACTAAGTACGGAGCCTTGAGGTAGACCGTTTTCTATAGGAGTGCGGTTACATAATATATCATTAATTCTTACTTTTATATATCTATCTGAAAGAAAATGTTTGACAAATGCAAGTAAATTTCCTTTAATGTTAATGTCATGGAGTAAATTCAAAACCCTATGTTTCCAAACCATTTCGTAGGCTTTTTCTATGTCTAATGCTACGATTATAGTATACAGATTGTTAGCAAACCCATCAAGTATTTCACTTTCGATATTAATTAAATGGTCTGTTGTTGATCTAAATTGCCGAAAACCATATTGAAACGGTGATAGATACTTATTCGACTCTAAATTCCATCTAATTCTTTTAGTAATTATTTTTTCGAAAATTTTGCATAAATTGCATGTTAGAGATATGGGCCTATAACTTATTTTTAGACTTGATATTTTTCCTGGTTTTAATATTGCGACCACTAAAGCTTCCCTCCAACAATTTGGATAAACCTGATTTTCCCATATATAATTAAACAATTGAAGTAAATATTCAAGTCCGCTAATCGGCAAGTGTTTAATAATGATATTTGATATATTGTCTGGACCTGGACTTGAATTGCCTAATCCAGAAAGAACCAGTAGCAATTCATGCATGTAAATTTCTTTGTTAATTGTATTAGAATTATCATTAAGATCGAAATTAGAATTTGTTTCCTGATTTGTTTTATAATCTATGAATTGTTGATCATAATTTTTTGTGTTAGAATTGTTTGCAAAGGTGTCTGCTAGAAGGTTGGCGATTTCAGTAGCGTCTGACGTATATGTTCCATCTAACTTTTCTAGTACAATATTGTTGAATTTCGTTGTTCGGTGATTAAGTTTTTGGATCTTTTTCCACATATCTCCGGTTTGAGTTTGATTAGTAATACAAGATACCCAATTTTGCCAATATTGTTTTCTACTTTCCTTAAGAAGTCTTCTAAATAATGCTCCCTTATTCTTATATTCTATTTTGTAAACCGAATTTGGATCATTTCTTGCATGTTTTCTAAATAATTTTAATGCTTTTTTAGTTTCTTTCATGGCCATTTTACATTCGTCATTTCACCAAGGCAAAATATTTTTTCTTAATATACCGGTTGTTTTGGGAATCGCTTTGTTAGCTGCGTTAAGTATAA